TAATTATCGAATTAACCATAAAAACTTTCTCATGTACCTTAATTAGAAGAATTTTTTTCAACTAGGTATGGCATTATTTTTTCATTCTCATGAATGTAATCCCATTTGCAAACGTTTACAATTAACGCCATTTGATATATCAACAAGTGAACGGGAAAAGCATCAAAAACATCATCAACGAACAAATAGTCGCTCGTTATCGCCGAAAACGGCTTGTCGTGGTTCGGAAGAACCTGTAAATGGTCTAAATACTTTATCAAAATTTGGTTCATTTTTAAGACGTTTACGATCACATTCGTCTATCAGCGAAGATGAATCTGAAGGTGAATATAAAATCCCAAAAGCTGCTGGTTTTACTTTAAGAAAAGGTTATTATATTTGTATTTAGGTTATGTATCTGAATCATCATCATTAACAACAAATACAATGGAAATACATAATGGTGGTTTAACAATACCAAAACGATATCCACAATTCATGACAACATTTAGTGTTGATCATTTACCGTTATCACCACCAACAAATATGATCAAAATACCATCGGCATCATCAAGTTTCGTTATGGCATCACCGGTAAGAGTAACAGAAACATTTGCGTATATATTATTATTTTGTTTTATTTGAGTCATGATTAATAAATGCCTTGAAGTGAGCTTTCCCATTGAATAATCTACCATTAAATACTGTAATTTGTACATGCACTTCACCCATCATACCTTATTTACGCGTGTGATTGCATTCTATTTTATTGTTATGTTTTAAGATTTATTCAGGAACAAATTCGGACGCTTGTTTTCATGTATGTTCCTTTGGTTTTTCTATTGTTTTAAATGTTTTAATTTATGTTCTTCTTTTCATGTTTTAGGAATTAACTTTTAATATAGAAGATGTTTATCATGCAGCGAACAGACGAGCGTCATCAGTAATTTTAGAAAAAGTTGAATTAGATAAATTTCAAGAAATGTCAATTTTCTATGAAAAATATGAATCAATTTTGGGACAAGTAAGTGAATTATGATCAAGTTTTATTTCTAATTTAGCAGCGTAGATCGTATCGATGTGACAAAGAAATTAAAAATTCGCATAACCAACCATTCATGTTTAAACTTTATTTTTATTGCTTTAGATTCATTTGGAAATGTGTAAATATCATCAAGTTGGTCGTTTTAGCGAGTTAGGATGCGAAGAGTTTGACGAAGAAGCAGCCTATTTTCATTTGGAACAAGCGGCAATATTAAATATAAAAGAAGCAATATTATCAATGGCTAAAATTCATTTGAATCTTTCAAGAGATATTTTACCAAATTATAAACTAAACGTAAGTTTAGAATAAATTAGATTATGAAATATTATTGAATTAATTTCTGCGTCTAGGAAAATTCGAATAATATAGAAAAAGGATTTAATTTTATGTTGGATGCTAGTGAATTACATGAACCAGAAGCGATATTGTATTTAGCACAGGCGTATGATATGGGCAATGATCAATGTTTTGTGTAAGTGTTTGCTTATATTAATGAAAAATGAGATTAATATGATTATATTTACAGAAATCAAGATTGGAAAAAGGCGGTCGATTATTATGAACGATATGTTTATTTACGTGAAATAGAAATGAATCCATTAATTGATGATGAAGATAGTGGAACAGGTGCAGAGAGTGGCATAGTGTCACATGGACAGTACGATACGATTGCAAGAATTGCATATTTGTATAAAACAGGTGGCCACAATCTTCGAGTTGATCACAAAAAAGCCGGTAATTTTATTTCTTTGAAAATTTGTTTCCATGAAGAAAAAACTTTACTCGAAAATCTTTGTTCTCTAGTACAAATAAATAAATTCATGTTTTTTTCTTTTCATCAGACCTGTTCACTTCCATGACACTATCAGTCTACAAGGCTCTACTCCCATGCTTGCTTCCTGACTATACTACAGAAAACAATATATCGCATAACTTATTTTCGTAGAAGCAATGTGAATGAATTGATAATTTTATAAGAAGAATGTTACATAAAGGCAGTGCATAACTGAGAGAATTTCAAATTTGGACTGAAGATTTCTTTGTAGAAGTTGGGATAAAACTTTTGTATTTCGACTCCTATCGATTCGATTTTTATCGTAAATAATATATGGAAAACATGTGAAAAAAATGAAAAATATATGACAATGGTGAAATAAATAATTTGAAAAATTATCAGACTCGATATGGACTCTGAACTCGAACTAGGTTTGCATTTCTAAGGACTTGTAACCTCCACATTCGCTCAGCTCTATGACAGTACGTAAAAAACTGTCAGAATGGCGAGATCGCAGCGAAATTGCGTGTTGAAATGAATAAATGATGGACATGATCAGAGAATAGACTAGAATCAATTGACCATAAGTATTTCCTCGAGTATATATTTGCTACTATGGGTATTCATTCTGTTTCAAACTATATTTATTTATTCTTATTTCAGGTGAATTATTTAATAAAGCAGCTGATCTGGCAATAGTATCGATGAAAGGCCGTTTGGCTAATAAATATTATCAGGAAGCCGAGCAATCATTTGCATTAGCTGATGTCGAGTAATTTCAATCTCAATTTTCTTCAATTTTCTTTTCTCCGTTGAAATAAAATGCTCCTATTTTAACTTGCTTTTTGCTCGCTTTTTGCTCATGTATGTGTGTAGTATAGACCGGTGTAGATTGAACAAACGTCTGTTGTCAGAATAAATTTTGTTTTTATATACGTTATGTTAATTTTTTTTTGTGTCAGATGATATATCTCGGTTTTTTTTTCATTTTATTTTTACTTTTGACGCATTTTCTCGAATTCGACACTATTCGTAGACGTAGATTTCTTTTTTTGTTTCGGTTTTGTGCATTGCACTTATTAGTTTTTTTTCCTCTGAGGATACTCGATTTATTTACGGTGAAAGTACGTCGTTTATTGAATGAACAGATGTATCTTATTATTTTTTTTTTTGGCGATTTCTGTATTATTTACTGTACATAGTTGCTCTTTTAAAAAGAAAAAAAAAGTTGTTGTTTAATAAAACGAATTGACGTATACAAACATTATATCAATTAGTACTGCCTCATGGATCATTTTTCAAAAGGTCACTAATCACGATAAAAATAAAGTTCTACTTTTCAGGAAATTAGTTTTCTTTAAAACTTTAGACGGTGGATGTTTTTTTAACTTCTAGGCAACAATTCTATTTGATGCGATGTGCACAGTTGTTTGCACCGTATATTTATCTAATTTGACTCAAAATTCTGAATGTGAAGATTACTGAAACTATATAAAAGAGGGAGTCAAAAATTATTTTATATAAGTCTTAAAAACTATCGAATAAAAAATGAAACATAACATTTTCACTCCTACAGTTTCAGAAAATATTTTTTTATTCCGCTATCCATTGCAAAATTTTGCATTTGATTTTCAAAAAGAGTTGTAAATTCTCCGTGCACAGTCACGTTAGGATCCAACTTTATACTGCAAAAACATTCCTTTATTGAAATATGCATTGAAAAAGTGTTTTAGAACGACAAAGCTTTATTAGCATCATTTAATAAAGACTAAACATTTGTGTTTTCTGCGACATTTGGTTAGACTAAATAAGGTATTAATATTATCGACTGCTGTCTTGAAATTTGTTGAGCAACAATTCTCAATTTGAATTGCGACTTGGCCAAGTGATTTAGTTCTATTAACTTTATACTGCACTTTTTTTCTTAACTCTCTTTGTACGTCTATCATGGTCAACAGACGGATTTCTCCTCATGAAACTAAGACCATTGTTTGCTAGAATGAAAGAGCGGCGGGCTTTAATTTATAATCGTTGAAATATTCACTATGAGAGGAAAAAGTGATTGTTTTTTCGGTTACGAGACGGGTATTGCTAAAAGACGCGAACATCCATGAGCACCTTCAAATTAAAATCTGAGTTAACCAATCGATAGAACTCATCGAGCTGAGTATAGCAACGCCTAACAAACACCCAAAAAAAGGTTTTATGTTTTCGCTTTTTAAGCATACATTTTCAAAGAACACCCAAAAAAGTGTGCAAAATTCATCTCCAGATTGTTCTGAGCCTACTAGTACTATTTTCAACCCAAACAAAGTATCTTCAAGGATTCTTGAAAAAATTCCTCTTGTGAGATATTACATAACTATAATTAAACGCCTTTTTTGGACTTCACAGTGAAGACATCTAGACATATTATATATCATAAGGAAGTCTATGGACTTCTCTACGAAAGTACCATTCAGGAATTATTTAAAAGTTCTTTGTTCAATTTTTAGTTGTGATTGACCTTCCTAATTATGGACTGTTTCACATCTAAAAAAATAAAGCGTGTACTAAAGGGAATGAGAGTTTATGAACTATGCTAAGATACTCTACAAGGATTTCTTAATCTAGTAATATTCGTTAGAATCATAAACAAAAACGTGTTCCTCTTCTTTGGAAAAGTCATGTGCCATTGATCGTTGTGCTCTATCGATCGATGAGCTCTATCGGTTGGTTAACTCAGATTTTAATTTGGAGGTGCTCATGGATGTTCGCTTCTTTTAATAATAAACTGCCACGAGAAACTATTATTACTATGTATAAATTGTAAACTATATACAATAGTCTTACAACTAGTATAGTAGTTATTATTTACGTTAAGGTTTTGCGCTTTGTTTCATCTTATTTCCAGATAAGTAACAAAACAATGTTTGTCTTGTTTAATGTAGAATATTGCTGTATAATGTGTCTGGGTTAATAACTGGTTTTGGATTTGTCGATTTTATATTTACATAAAAATTGGCACTCTTGTTTGTTTTCGCTTCGTTGGTCTGATTTGAAAAAAATTTATAAAAATTTCAAAAACTGAAAAGTAAGAGGTCATCAATTATTCAATAATTTCTTTTTAAGGTGAAAACTATCAGTAAGAACAATCCGATTAAAGTCACCATTTCAAACATACTTATAAAGTAACAACCGTATAAATATTTTTTCTGTATTTTCTTTCTGTTTTATATTCCTACTATTGTTTATACACGTTGATCATTTTGACTGATGAAGTTCTATAGTACAGAATGAAACGTCTCAAATAAATAGAGTTGTTACTTTGTAAATTATAATAGTGACTTTAATCCTATTATTCTTACTTAAGATCATAAATTATCCTTAGCCATCGAGTATATAAGCTGGTTTTGCCTACTAATGGAAACTGTCCATGGTATAACTCATAGTTTTACAATCTGATTCAACCTCCGCATCCTTTATCTAGTATTCTGTTGAGGATAGCCTTTGTCCAGACAAAATTCAAATTAAAATAATTATTCTACATGATTATTTCTTCATGAAATGCGATTTGATAGTTTTCTACCTACATAGTTTTACATTAAGCACGAGTAAATCAATAAGCATAATGGTATAGTGTAGAAAAGTTTATAGAATTAAGCATAAAACGGACTTCACTCGATATTGATATCGGTAACGCACGTACAAATATATTCCATTTTAATGATACAAACTACTGACATTACCAAATATAAAATCTATTCATTTGAGTTTTCAAAATGCAAATAGAACTCGATTATTAAATCAGTAGCAAAAAAAGTATGTCAATATCACTGACTATATTCATACATCTGATTTATTGAAACTACGAATCCTATGACAAATATTAATTAAACTTTTTTAACGTGTGATTTTGGGTGAGTAAAATTTCTCTCATGTTGTTTTATGAAATTTTTATGGTTTAGATCTTAATATAGCAAAAAAATCTCGTATCATTATTGTTCCCATGCTATGCAACTCATACTGTAGTTTCACAGTTTTTACGAACGTTTTACGTGTGTCTGTTTGTTTTTCCTCATATGCGTCTCAGTCTTTTACACATTCTAATCTACTGACATATTCTGTTTTTTTGGTGATAATCATCGTTTTTGTATAGACTAATGCGTCTATCTATATAACCTCATTTGTGCAAGATTCTCAAGAATACAAAATATAACGAACTTCTATATAATAATCATAATCATAGATCATTTTTTTTGCGTCTGTATTGCTCATCGACGCAAAGACAAAGATAATACTTTCGTCACACACAAAACTTATCTCTCTTTCTGTCTGCATGTGTGTATATTACTTGATTGATTACTCCTAAAAATATTGGATTATACATATAGTAGTAGAAGAAAAATGTGATAAATGGACTGTACGAACAAAATAGCTGTTTTTCTCTTTCCATATGAGACAACCCATTATAGTTGATAATAGAGGCACACAAGATATTTATCTTAACTGCTTAATCTACTCCAATACGCACACTGTGATAGGGGAAAGAGACATTTTTCTTCTTATTTAGTCTTGTTTTGGGAAAATACCATAAAACAGAATATAATAACTAATCGTCAAACGATGTTTGTAGATCAACAAGTTTATTTCATTATGTTCCATATCAACCAAAAACAATTGGTTACTATGACTGGAAATTGCCATTTTTCCATTGTCTAAAGCACATTGATTGGGGTTCTAACGAATTCATTTACCGTTCATAGAAAAACATAAATGTTCGTGTTTACTATGGTCCCCAAATCGATGTTTAACAGGAACTTTTTTGATCTCTTGAGTTGCTTGTACTTGATTTTCAATCAGTTTTTTTAATTTTATGTTCAAGTTCAGAGTTGTAACTGGTCACGATGAAAGACCAAATCGTTCCGTTTCGGTAAGACCTTTAATACGGTCATTTTAAACATAAACTAGAATGAAATACAAAAACGTTGCTATTTTAGAAAAAATATTCAAAATAGTCGTTCTGGTAGCAAATTTTTAGAGATACGATTACAGCTCTAAGAATTTTTGAACGGTTACATCTCTACTGGAGCTATACCTTCTTATTCCTTCTATAATATATTAATAGACATAAGTCAGATATCTTGCTAGAAGAAGAAAAGTGGCTACTGGAATACTTTTTTGAAGCAAAAGCATCAGAGAGACGAGGTCTATCTTCAAAGAGAATAACTTTGATAACCACCGTCACATTGACAAAGAAATGCAGATGTTTCGCAATGTGCATTATCGTGTATGAACGTGTGAGATTATTACAAAATGACTTCTGATATTTCAGAAAATTAAATAACGCATTATACAACTCTTCCTTACGAAGAAAAAAAGAAGATTAATCAAGAGTGTGTATGCGTTATCAATGACGCATAACTTATCATGTAAAGAATATCGATCGAGAAGGCAACTTTCAACTTAGGAATTTTTAAAGATGCGATTGTAACATAGTTCTCTTTCAACGACATTGATTTTCTCTAAAAGACGTCAATACCTCGTCAATCGCATTTTGAGGCATAATAAGTGAAAACTGTTTTCCTACAAAGAACAATCTAATATCTAACGCTTATTTCGACTACAGTTTTGTGATATGTCGTTTAAAAAAAAAGTGTAATTGAAAAAAGACTCGTTTTGCATATTGTGGAGTTCTTTCACCTTCTATATTTACCAAAGAAACAGCAATAAACTGATTGAAAATCCATGAACAAAAGACGATCTAATCGGTTAGATCGAGTTTTATTCATAGATTTTCAAGGAGTCATCAGTTTTTGTAGGTTTTTTCCCTCATTTTGCGGGTAGTAAGTCCATTTCAGCAATACTAAGAAACCTAGACGGTGTCATCTGAAAGGTTCAGCAGGCTCAAGCCTACTTTAGAAATAATCTCGAGAAGTTGAATCTGCCTTGCGAAAGGTTCTGAAACTGGATCGACCCTACACTAGGTCGAGATCACGTTGGCGTTCATCGAGAGGAATAATACCTGATAGTTCTGGGACCATTCATAGAATAAGAATGAATGAAAGAAAAAATAGAAAAATAGAAAAATAGAATCTGTCTACACATGTTGGGAAAATGACACTGTAACACATTAGGAAAAAATTAACCAGTAACGTATCAAAACACCATCGTTAATTAAGGTGTTAATTACCGTTACATAAAATAGTTAACTGATGTAATTAATATATTTTAACACTCATTTATGAAGTGGTCAACGAAAAATAATATGTCATTTGTACAAGCTTGAGAATAACTAAAACGTTTTGCTTTTTTGTATGAGATCTATGATCTTAGGGTATTCTAACTATTTTTTTGTTTTTTTACAATATCTATAAAGTTAAATAATGAACACATTTGCACATGTTCATGCATTTTCTTAATGCATTTCCATCCACTATTCCATAGGTATGATTTGTGCGAAAATTCTATCTGTGTATTTAAAATAATATAAAATAGCCATCCGTATTTCTTGTTAAGATTTTGAGTTGAGTAGAGGAAATCAAATAAGACATGTTTAAGATTTTAACAGACTTTTTACAATCAATTTCTTTCTATTCGATTCTGCAATCATTTTTAATTAATACCAGATCGTCATAAATCTCAATGACGACATTTTTTTGTATGCATGTATCTTCACTTAGACATCTTTTGTCGATTAAGGTAATTTTTTCTTCGGATACAGGATGTACATATTATTATTGCGGTTAAATATTAATAATCAGTCATTTCATGAAAAATATAGAATAGAATATTCTCTCACTCTATCATATACACAAGAACAAAGTTCTCCACCCTGCACAAATAAGACATACATATACATATTTTTTCTTTTTGAGATTCATCACATATTACTGTAATACAAAAAGGCAATCGGACGGTAGAATAGAAAAAAAAGGCTGCAATTGACAGCACAAAATGCTCACTGATATCAACGAATGCATTATTATCATCAATGTCTAATAACTATAACAAAAACAAATCATAAAAACTCTTCTGCTATATAGTCTAATTTAACACAGAACAAAAGAGCGAAAAAATTCATTTTTCTACTTATAGAGAGAATACGTGCTTATGACGTTAAAAGAAAAGTATACACACTGAAATTACTTGATGGTGTTTGTTGCACATCACCACAAACAACAACAGTTTTATAGAAGAGAAAAAAAGAATCCTGTACATATAAAAAAAAAACACCAAATACAATCTTCAAAGCAAAGGTTAGCAAGTTTTCTTCGTCATCTTCGGTTATTTACAAAGTCCGGAAGAACAAGTATGTTTGCGAGGAAAGAGAGGAATTATTGCGTGGATAATCCATCCATATACATGTATAATATGTACAATAGAAGGAAAAAAAAATCCATTTTTTTAATAGAAGAAGAATCGAACGACATTTTTTGAAAACAAAAACGACGAGAAGAAAGAGAGAAGGAGAGAGAGAGAGGGAACTATAAACATTGTGAAGACATAGTTTTTTATCAACTATTATTGTACATACTTAACCCTAAAGATACTCTCTTACATCTGTGTGAATTAAAACAAAATACGATATTCTTCTCATTTATTTAAGTAGGTGATATTATATTATTACTGCTTTGTTTTGTTTTTTTCTAAATGCGGGTATGTATAGTGCAGACTCACATTAAGAAAAATTATTTTCAAGATTTAATAAAATGAATGTATTCATTCAAATAGATTTCTCATTGATTAAAACATTTTAATCTTAGTATACTAAATTGATATTTGCGTAAATATATTAATTCCAGATAGGCAAAATATCTTTTCGAATGACAGAGGTCACTAAATATATCCATTTATATATAAAAGATTAAACATATTCATATTTTCGATGATGATACATACTTTTCCTTGTTTTTATCTCGAATTAGTTCAACAGTTAACTGGATCGCTTACTGAGAAGACTTTAGTTCATAAATTATTCGCTGACTATTGTACAGTGGATCTCAAAATTATTTGATTATAGTTATTTTTTTACTAAAGGCTCCCAACGATCATTTTTGATGATTTTCTGTGAATTTTGTTGGTTTTAATAATGTGCAATCTTTCGTAAATTGAATGTAGTTCGATGGAAAAATATTGTGGAGAGTTTGAAAGTAAGAAAGAAGTAAAATGTTTTTTAACAGTTTTGATGACGTTTTTATATACACATCAGGTAACAAGAAACTCTCATTCAACTCATTTTCGAGAATATTTTTTATCTATCACGATCGAGTAAAAAGAAAAACATCAGAAATAATTAGAGTTAAAAAATAATTTTTGGAATTATACGATAGAAAGTTAATAATTAGTGAAACAAATTTAATTTTAGTATTTTATTATTATTCTTATAATTTAACTGACAATGCCTCAGTGGGGTGGTGGCGGTGACAAATGTCAACGTTGTGAAAAAACGGTATATGCAAATGAAGCCGTGTCAGCATGCAGTGCCAAATGGCATAAAGGATGCTTTAAATGCAAAACTTGTAAGTTATTATTTATTAACTTATATGTATCCATTGATATTTATATATTTTTTGGATATATTTATAGGTAATGGTTTATTAACATTGGTATCATATAAAGATTTTCAAAATGATATTTATTGTAAAAGTAAGTGTTTATAGTGTTGTGTAACATGTTGTCTTGATGTTGCAATGAGAAACAGACATATTTACATATACAAATATCAAGAATCTTGCATAGCCAAAAAAAAAGATAATTCAAATTCTATGCAAATATTTATAGTAAACGTAGAAAGGTCATGCAATTTACTTTTGTTCTGATTCTTTTTGCCAGCACCATTTTTCTAATTAAACTAATCGGAAAGTAGATCTATAACAAGTTATCACAACAATGAGAATATAGTAAAACTCACTTAGGTTTTGATACTTTTATCATTTTGTATCAGAATTTTTTTAAAATTTTCTAATGTAATGTGTTATATCAAAGAAATAAATTTTATTCTCTCTAATCTTGATAGAAAAAGTCATATCAGAATTCGTCAGAAAATATAAAACTTTCTTTGTTTGAATTCGTGTATGAATTCTTTTTTTTCTATCATTTTAGGTTGTTATCAGGATAAATTGCATCCTCATGAACGTAATCGTAAACAACTTGAAAAGAATTTTTCACGTCAACCTGGTGGTGATCAAGCTGCAGGAGCATCCAAAGGAGCAGCGAGTGAAGAGAATGCCGGAGAAGAATAAATATCTAGATTAATTCACATATGATAAGATTATATAGTTTATTAATAATTCATGTTCGCTTCCGCCTTTTTATAATATTGTGAACATTATGAGTAATGGATATTTGCGTGGTTAAACCGATGAGCGAATACAGTCAAATTTTTTTATTTTGTCTGATTTTTTTTCATAACATTGATTTTTAACTTCTCTCTTTTTTGAGTGACATTATCTGGTCAATCGCGTTATTCTTATAATATCGATTGTACATGAGCAACAGTGTGTTTGTGCGTGTGTGTGTGTGTGTGTGTGTGTGTGTGTGTTTTTCCCCGTTTTCTTACTATTCTCTTTTTCATGCTTGTTTTTTAAACAACAAACACCCTGTTTTAGCTAAAAAAAAAGGCTAATGGCAATATTCTAAAAACATTAATATACCGTAATTTTTTCGTTTTTTTTGCTAACAGCGATACTATGCTTTGTACTCTTATCATGTTATTGTCCTGTATAATACACGAACCAACATGATCTAAAAATGTTATCATTTTTTATGTACGATCATGTATTCTCGCTTGGTCAATAAAAATAATTTTTGTGAGTTCTAGAGATAAAAAAAAAGAGATAAGTATGTTTTGAAACGCTGCTATTCGATGGTAACTAAACAGCAGTCGTCAGGGTATTGATATCTAATCACAAACGTTACAAAATCATAACACAACGTATGCTTATATTATTTATTGGATAAAATTTGGGTAGTCTATTCAGTATAGTTATAACAAAAATAAGTAACGAGCGAAGCTCATCAAATATGACATTGATTTTTTCTTGAAACATACTCGATGATGACTAGTTTTCGATGAGTTACAAAGTTTTTGTTTTTTATTCAACCAAAATAAGGATGAATGAGGTTTTTTCTGATAAACATTTATAACTACTATCAAAACCATAAAGCACTGGCCACGGATTTTAAAGATTCTCAATGTATTTGATGGAATACATCTCTGTATTAATTTAGTTGACAATTCTATTCTTGTCACCATTGTCGATATAATCTTTAAAACTCAAGATAATGGTAGATTTACGTTTGATTGAACTGCACCATATCATTCATTGATAGCGAAAAATGAAGAAAAACAAAATGATTTTTCCTCTGAACTATTTTCCAACAATCTTTCTGTTAATAACAGATCAATCAGTTTATGTTAATAATAATTAGAATGTTTAAGTTTACTATATTTGTTAATTAGCCGTATCGCGTCACGATCAGAAGCAATTGATGGTGAACTATATTCAGTCAAATCAGTTACGCTAAAATCATGATCTTGTCGTTCACGGTGGGTATGATAGTGATCATTATAATCCTAGAAAAGAGCAAAAGAGAGTTGAATGTAAGATATAAGAAATAGACTAGAAAAAACCAGTCAATGTTAAAGAATTCAAGCATCAGAATACAACAAGATCAGATGCGATACAAACTAACCATTATTTGTGGTAAATTGTGTCCTTCATTTATTCTATAATGATAATTATAAGAAGTATATGGTTGATAGGGATAATGGTAATCGTAGTATACTTGATTATTGTAATCATGTCTACGAGATTTTTTACGATATCTTTTTTTTCGTTTTTGTTCATATCTTGGCTGATGAATCGGATATTGACCATAATAATCCGCATAGGCAGATTGTGGTTGTTGTTTATTATAGGCTATCATTGGAAGATGCGTCACATTGGAGGAATAAATCGGCTGTCCATACCCATGTCCATACCCATTTACTGGATAGTTGAGAAATGTTCTTTCTGTATTAAAATGAGTAGGATTTGTTGATCTATAATATTGATTGTAATCACTATAATAAGGATTCAAAGGATTTTGATGATAATATTGTTGTGAAAAAGCGTACTGCTGATTGGTAGCCATAATAGGATATATTGTTGTTCCCTATGCAAGCCACTGTTGTCGATAATTGTTATATAAAATAATTTTGACATTCAATTAATCATATACATAAAAACATACGATACCTGCTCAGAATCTATTTCTATTTAAAGAAGTCTTGTTCATTACGTGTAAAAATTTTCAATGATTTCAGTTTTTATTCTTTCATCAATACTAATCCAATTTGACAAAAAAACTTCAGTTTATGTTTACATTTTGTCATTCTACCTTCTGAGTATCAACACTCAAAAAAAAATCCACAAAAATATAATATTTTGGTCTATAAGAACTCCTTTTCAACAACTTGACCGGTTTTTTTTTCGTTTAAAGAGTGAGCTCAAGTGAGACAGCGCAATTTAATGGAAGACCGATGACATAAGAACGGACAGAGAAACACGTAACGAGCAAGAAATCTTTCAAGGCTTTATCTGGAAATGATGGGGTATCATTACCGTTATGTGCATGGTAATACAATGATAACAGTAAAGTGGCACCTCTAGACTTGATCTAAACAGTAGTACAGTAGTACAGTGATACAGTAATACAGTGTTACAAATTAGTAGTAATGGACATTAATTGCTCACCGTCTTTTCGAACTTGTGATTTTCAAACAATCAAGAGAGAATTTTCTTAAAAATTCTTAGGAGATTTAACGAAATTTCTCAGGTTTTGAGGAGACAATAGATAGTAAGACTTAGTTTGTTTTAAATGAATCCAAAGATTTTAATCTAAAAATTGAAATTGGCAATTTTTAAGTTTTGTCCCCATTGCTTTGTGGCATTCATTTGACATTGAACGTCTGATAAAATGTCTCATTGCTTCGTACTGAAATGCAGTTTTTCAGGACGAATACAAAAATCAAAAAATCTCCTATAGGTTTAAGTTTTTAGCGTGCAAACAAAAAAGAAAATCATTCGATTCCGTTGAAACGTCAAGGAGAAGTATGAGATACGATATAGAAATTCTTTTGTAAATACGTGGAGACTAATTGTTGAGTATTCAACAATAGTGAGCCTTAAATTAGATATTCCAGACCAACGATTCATATAACAAACTAACAATCGATTAGTCAATACATTAGAAGTCCATTTTATGATCCCCCAGTGCTCATCGTTCCAAATGTATAGTAAAGTCCAAGATTATCCGCCTGCAGTTATTTTAAGTTCAACTTTAAACTTATGCCTATTTATCAAAAATTCTGTTAAACTATACAAAAATGCGGCGATATCAGTCACATATTTTTCTGTTGGGTGTGTTATTGATAAAGTACAATAATGCATTGTCACATTTATCATATCAAATTGTTTGATAGTGTTTCAATTGCAATAAAAGATAAGATGTCTCTCAGTTACCGTAGATACTGTTGTTATACTCTTCATTCGCTATTTCATCTCCCTTCCCTCTCAATAAAAGATGTGTAATTGCTTACACTACTACAGTTAATAGTACAGGATTAAATAAAAAATATATATAAAAGAATAAAAAAGCAAATATTATAACAACATTAAAAATGTATAACATATTTGTCAAAATACAGTAAACTTTAACCGGAATACAATGTGCGATGAATATTTTCTAAAAACAAACTAAGTTCATCGACTTTAATTCAAAAATCTCGATCAAGATAAAGTCTTCAATTATTATGTTGACTACAGTATAAATAATCACATGTATCTGAACAAGTCGTTTTAAAACATATAAACACATAGCATGTAAGAGAATCTAAACTGATACAACATAACTCAAGATATACTCTTCATCAAAATTATTTAATTAACTGTTTCTTTTCAATATTTTCTCTACAGTGTTTTGATTTGATAAAAAATTACGTATTTGAGTCTTTTAATTCTTCAAATTCTGGCCATTGAGTATTTGTATCACTACCGTAAACTTTATTCCACCATGCAATATCGTTTTCTACATTATGCTTTTTCAATTCGTTTAAAAATTTTTGCGATGCTCCAGCAAGATTTTCATCTGGTTTGTTTGGATAAAGTGCATCATGATATTCTTGAAACATTTGTTTAAAAAAATTCGAACGTTTTTTTTCAAAATCATGTGTTCGGTTTAAAACATTGGTCATTTCTTTCTCATAATTTGGTCGTTGATTTTTCATATCTTCAATCAATTGTTTATATTTTGATTCTTGAGCAGTACATTCTTTTTTCAATGTATCTACTTGATCTTTTGCTTTACGTTTTTGTTCATCAGATGTACCGGTATCACTTTGTATAATTTTATCAGCTAATTCAAATTTCTTTAATTTTTTTTTTGTTTCTTGATACAATTTTTTTGTGTCATCTATTTTTTGTAATAATTTTAACCAACTTCTTTGTGCTTGTTCAAAATCTTTTTCAAATTCTTTCGCTTTTTTAATATGTAAAACTGATTTACCATAATTATCTTTTCGATACTGTGTCATTTTATCAAGAACATTTTCTTGAAGATCTTTAGCTATTTGAGAATGAGTATAAAAATGTTGTTCTCCGGCAACAATTGATGCTGACCAAGTGCTCTTATTTGTACCATAATCTTGACTTCGAGAAATTTCTTTTTGACATGTTAGTGACCATTTTTTCAATTCCGCCATATAATCTCGTTCAATTTTAATTCGTTGTTCAATAAATTTAAGAAATAGTTCACAAGAGTGATATCCATTGTTACAACGTTCAATAGACACTTTATATTGGTTTGGTTCGAAAAATCCTTTGCCATACCATGGATTACTGAGCAGTAACTCGGGAGTAGTCTGAGGCATTATACATTGCACTAGAAATATAATTCAAAATAAATTGTTTTTATTCTAACACTGACAATACACTATGATACAAAGAAGATTTACTCGGATTTTACTTGAAAGTTATATTTAGTGTTTATTCAGTGTACATCGAAAGTCGTCAAAGATTTGACAAACGAGATTTTAACTTTTGAAGTATGTTGTTGTACTCGCTCATACATCGTAAGCACGAATCGATAAAAAAGAAATAGCCGGAAGACAATCATCGATGCACACTTTACGAGTGCTAAATGCACATTCTACGAGTGTGTTATTGTTTTGATACTAATAATAAAATTGTTGCAGTTGACATCTAATATCCTAGAGAATCAGTCGTTTGTCTCTAACTGAAAATATTGTTTGTAAGAAGAGATGTTTTCGTCGCTATTATACTGACTCACAAAAACACGACAAAAAAGAACTATATCTTTTTCTTACTTGTGTGTCTCTGTAATAAATGAAGGACGAAATACTAAATCTTTGTGAATGACTGTTTATAATTGTATATGCGGCAGAGTACAGTTGCAGAATGTATTACTACGCGAGTCCATATAGTAACTAATACACGTTTGAGACACATAGCAGTTATATATATATATTATTTTTCTGTTTCTCTTCTCTCTCTCTCTCTCTCTCTCTCTCTCTCTCTCTCTCTCTCTCTCTTTCCCTTGATTGAGGAAAAAAAATTTTCTTTATTTCTAAAGGTATAGGTATAGATAGCCTATAATTCATCAATTTCTTTTTCGTATTGATCGTAAGTGCCGTCATATGTTGGTAATGAGAGAGTCAAGTTATTCATTTCTCTCCCATGTTTTTTTTCTGCTCGTATTATGCTCTATTCTTACAAAGATTGTAAATCTATTTTATTACATTCTAAATTTATTTAGTTTCTTATCATTATTTGATCTTTAGATATTGCTCAACTCATATATTTATATCTGCTTTTATTATTCAATCAAATTCTTATTCATTTGAGTCATTTGTATGGAAGAAAAAAGAAAATACGACCATATATGATATAATATAACATAAACAAGAACATGACGCATTATAATTTAGGTTATTCGAGAATATCAGGACTCATGCAAAGTTCATGAATCATCTATCTACGTATTTTGTTTTGTCTTAATTAGGGTTCTTAAAATTGATCCTGCAAAAAAAATATGTTGTTGTTCATCTAAAATTTCTTCAAGTTATAAAAAGAAATTTATTAAATGTAATATTGACATTAATGAGACAAAAAAAAAAAAGTATGATTCGTAAAAAAAAAGCATCTCTATTTCGAAAGATGTTGATACGATTCAATGAGAAAAATAATCGAGAAAAAAACAGAACAAAAATTGTAAAATTTTGTGGATTTAGTAGTGGGATGTGGGTTTTATATGTCACCGCAAAGTAAAAACGGAATACGACTATTTTCTTTCACGTAAACGGACAAAAAAAGAAATAAAACTACGAAAAAGAGGAGAATTTGTCATTCCTCAAGGTCAACTCGTAAATCCTTTGAAACGTCACGAATTTCATTTAAAATTTATTTACATACGAATTGTGTTGTGTTTCAAAAGATGAACTTTAATCTTATGGATTTTTCGAAGAAGAGCATTTTAAGTCTGACTCTTTCAACTACATTTTAAAACCTAAATTCTATATCATATAGCTGACTTTATGCAATACATCTCTTGTACTAAGTTGAGGCAAACTATATGCGTTTTTACCATCAAGATTAAGACATGTTCGTTACTATACTGATATTCTTATTATAGTTATTTTCGTACTCTAAACCAAAATTTCCCACTATTTTCCATATGCATCTATGATTAGTTTGCATGTACTGTAAGAACAAAGTTATTCAGTTGTATTCTTCAGAATTATTATGTAAGAAGTATTGGTAGAATATAAGTCTTGATAGAATAAAACTAAACTGAGAAATTATGATCTAGTCTTTAAATTATTTCGTTTTATGTCAATGAATCTAATGTGAAGTTACACATCTGCCTTCTTCATAAAACTCAATTTCTTAATTTATATTTTATATTAACTGAAGAACCATTTCTTTTCTTTCTTCAATATTGTGGGCAGTAATACATTAAATCTGCGCAGCTGTGATAATTATCTAATTATGACTCAAATGTCTTTTGCTGAAAAAAAATTATCTTAAATTTGACAAAATTGATTTTTATATACGTTCGGTGTGGTAAAATCACAGTAATAAAAAGATAGATAAGTCTTGCGTTAGTCATTAACACAACATGCACTAGTCGTTCTGATTGGATGTAGAAAACTATTCTATTGTCCATATATTATTTCTGACATTATTTCTATATTTATTCGTTCATTGACAATTTTCTTATTTTCTTATGTGAATCAGCAACCACTTAAGAAGAACTGTTCCACCTCCGCAATAAACAGAAACAGAACAGAGAAAAATAAGCATACCTGTACATAAGATTATTCGATGATTTTATATGTCTCAACGCTAGCTGTGGATCATTGATTTGATGTGTGTGTGTGTCTCGCCAGAGGAGGGAGAGTCACCCCAAACAAAAAGATATTCATTTCGATCTAGCTTGAAGCTAAATTTCTGGAACATTTATCTAGTTCCAGCCCTAACCAGATAAGAGCTAGAGTGAATTTAGATAAATGTTCCACAAATTTAGCTTTTTCTGTCCTTCTATGGATGACAAGTATAAGAAATACACTCATAATGATACAAAGTGGCTTCAGTCTAAGCCTTCACTCGAACTCATGCATCGCTGATCTCCGAATATATTTGGTAAACGAGCCATCAGAAAAGATGCTTTGACCAACGACAATAGCGTTGAGATTTTTATTGCTGTGGTACTTATGTATTGCTGCTAAATTTACAACTAACAACTAGAATTTGAAGTTTAATTCAGTTATTTTCAAATATCGTATGAGGTTACGAACTGCGTGATAAATAAAGATCCTTTTTTTATTGATGAAAAGTTCATACAAACAATTCATTTATATTGACAATGAGGCTTGTTATTAAACCAATGATTAATACGGCCATTCCACATAAGAATCCACCCAAGCGAGCAAAGTCAAAAGCTTTCATTCAGTTACAAAGCTCCATGCTTTGTACGTGGATTGATAGACCTTAGTGAGGTAGTAAATTCCCTAAAAGGATTTTCCCCCATGGCTCCTGAAGGCCCGGTGTTCTGGAAAGCCAGTTTTTCGAAAACTCTAAAGAATAGCTAAAACCTTTTCTTAATGAGGCTTGATTGTAGCCCGTGCATTTCTGATTAAAATGAGACGTCCTCCAGCTCTTCACGACCTTTCTTTGCAAAGTTATAGAATTTACAAGAAAAGCCCAAAATTAATTTCTTCTTATTTCTGTAGTTTTGAGCTGACAATGAATATTTAGGGCTTCCCTTGTAAATTCTATAACTTTGCAAAGAAAGGTCATGTAGATATGGGAGACATCTCATTTTAATCAGAAATGTGCGGGCTACAGTTATGTCTCATTAAGAAAAGATTTTGGCTATTTTTTATTGAAATTCGAAGGTGATGCAGTTCAGTCCAAAAAGTGCAAAAAACGTGTAAGTCCGTTACGGTTTTTGCTTTGAAGATTTCTCGATGAGTAAGCGGTAGTTTTTCCTCCGGTTTTTACTATAGGGAAATTCGAAGTCCGAGCTACAAAATCAGCTATTATAATCCCATCGTGAGTGTAGACAATCGCTGAACTTTTCATTTTTCTCGGATACTTCAAAGTTCACTTTCTATTTTTTGTAAGTCCATTACGCTAGGCATTTCGTCTCGCCTACACTGTTAACCCGCTTTATTTTCTAATTTATAAAAAATCGATTTTGAAAATTATAATCGATTTTAGCACGTTTATGAAATCTTAGACGATTTTATGACAAATTAGACAACGTTTATTTTCTATTTTTTCAAAAATAA